AATACACAGTATTTGGTGGAGTAAAAAGCCTTTTAATAATTTAAACAGCCTTTTTAGCATTCTAAATAGCTAGAGCGTTCGTGATTCTTCAGTTTATGGTGGCAGCGAAGGTTTGAAATAAAGAGACATCCCCTCAAATGCTATAAGAGCCAAAGTGGTGTGAATTCCTTATTGAAGGAGGGACAGTGTTGGGATCTGCTTGCCCCCTGTCCAGTGATATTGTTTGGCCATCAAGAAATTATATCATTATAATTTGGTGTCAGAGGTGGGATTCTTTGACCCCCCTGCCCAGACGGCCAATTAAGGAGTCCTTATAATGAGCACCAACCCCCAGTCAGACACAACTGGATTTAATGTCAAGGGGAAACCTTTACCTTTACCTTACTAGGTACTATTTCCATATTAACTTACAGTAATTGTCTTTAACAGTCAAGATCAACTATTTAACTACCTGTCCTTGGAATTCTTAACAAATGTATGTTCTTTCTGGTGTTGCATGGCTATTTTAAGTGTATTTATTGTATTTTAATCTGTTTTTACCACACTATTTAATTGTTTTTTAACTTTTCTATTGTACTTTTAAAACTTGACTAAGTGTGGGATTGTTAGCCACCTTAAGTTCTCACAGGGATAAAGACTAGGTATAAATAAGTTAACAAGAAGAAGAAGGAGAAGGAGAAGAAGAAGAAGACTTGTGTGGATAGTGGGAGTTAAAATTACATTACTTTACCGTGTCTTCTGTTTGCAAAGTATAATTTTAAAAAATACAGGAAAAATGAGCTAATGCTCATACATATGCTCATGCTTCAAGATTTCCTGTCTGGTGGAACAGCCAGCCTAAAATGTATCTGCAATTTTTCTTGATGTACTCTTCAGATAGAAACGCAGCCCACACAAATGACCTCGATAGTTCCTGCTGCTCACAAGCTTTAGAAAAAGCATTTCTTTCAACAAAATATTAGGTAGATGCCAAGTTGACATCATGCCTTGCATCAGAAAGATATATGTACCATCTTGAATTAGCTCCCACCTCATCTCCCACAACTTTGGTTTAAATTCTAAAACTGGAGACAATTGCTTTAGATTTTTGCTCCATTTGTACATTAATGACAAGTGGTCAAGAATAACCGCTGGTCTACATCTAGGGCATATCTCACCATCAGCCAGTGTATAATATTAAAAGATGAAGGAAAAGAAAATTAGGTAACATTTTTGAAGTTTAGAGACATTGCTCACTGATAATACTTGTTCTATCAGATACACTCCCTTTCCCCAGCAAGCACACAATGGCACATCAAGGCTGAGTAAAACTGGAGCAACTGCAGGGGATTAGTAATGATTCACATGGACCAACCAAATTAACAGGTGCTTCTTCTTAGAAGAGTCACATGTAATAGTCACCGGCATCCGCCAGACCAGCCAGAATTTAACATTTGCTATGCCTTTGATAGTAAGCATTTCATGATCACCATGTGCAACAGGTGATGCAGATGCATGTGAGATTTCCATGGTAAATAGCAATCTGTGTCATAAAATCAGAAAATGGAAGCTTGAGGGCCATGAGCTCTTCAATAACAGGGCTTGTTGTTGTTGTTTATTCGTTCAGTCGCTTCCGACTCTTCGTGACCTCATGGACCAGCGCACGCCAGAGCTCGCTGTCAGCCGTCACTACCCCCAGCTCCTTCAGGGTCAAGCCAGTCTCTTCTAGGATACCATCCATTCATCTTGCCATCTCTCATCTCTTTTTGGGAGATCTGCCTTTGCCCAGTGTTAAAACAAGCTTGTTTCTGCCAGACTATGGTGAACCCAAGGCCAGAATAAGCTGTTTTCAGCCTTGAGAAAGGGGCTCTATTTGCCTTGTTTATGGTCAGCCTTTTTTTACTATATCACAATGGGCTTAACCAAGGATGGAATCTCAAAAAGCATTAATACCAAGGTCCCACTCACCTCTTGACACCATAGCAGAACAACTTAGGAAAGGCAAAGGGTCTTCCCCAGGAGCATTTCTCTTTTAGCAGTGCACTAAGCCTGTGTATTTCCAAACCATTATTAACAGTGATCCCTTAGCCATCAAGGGTTCCAGAGCATGTGTTTCAATTGCATAATTAATAACACAACACAACTAAAATGTGTTGGTATTTTGGTTTTTAAGCATGTTCCTGGGGTTATTTGGGAGCACTGATTCAGAGAATTGCATTGGATGGACCACATCAGATACCAGATGAGAGACTCCCTCCTGGGCACACAGAAGATTGGGCAGACTGCGTTTTGGCACCACAAGATGCAGAGCTAACCTTAAAAAATGGGGCTACAAAGTGGAGTCCATGACATGCGAGTGTGGAGAAGAGTAAACCACAGACCACCTACTACAATGCAGCCCGAGCCCTGCACAATGGATGATCTTCTTATAGCAACACTAGAGGCACTCCAAGTGGCCAGCTTCTGGTCAAAGGACATTTAGTATAATGCCGACTTTTAAAAACTTTGTGACCAGAAGCTGGCCACATGGAGTGCCTCTGGTGTTGCTATGAGAAGGTCCACCATTGTGCATGTGGCTCTTCTTTTAAACTTTGTGAGTGCATCTCCTCCTACGAACCTGCATGATCTCTTCAATCTTCGGAGGAGGCCCTCCTCTTGCTCCCACCTCCATCACAAGTGCAGCTTGTGGGGACGAGGGAGAGGGCCTTCTCTGTGGTTGTCCCTCGGCTCTGGAACTTGCTCCCCAGAGAGATTAGGCAGCACCCATCCTGGTAGCCTTTAGAAAAAGTTTAAAAACTTGGCTTTTCCGGTGTGCTTTTGGGGAATGAACAATCAATCTCCATGCCACGTCCTGTCCCAGGACCAAATTGTCTTCCTGTTGGCTCTTCATCCCATCCCTCGGTTGTAGATTAACTTTATTGTTATCCCGTCCGAGCCTCCCACTGGTCATAGCACCTTCTATCTCACCCATGGGTTTTATAAATTTTTGTCTATTGCATTTGGCCTAGCTCACTCTAATTCCATTAGCATTTTAATAATTTGTTTTATGTTTTTGTTATTTTCATTTCATTTCTATGTTATTATCAAGCATTTTATTTGATGTTATTGTTTGCTTTAAATGTATTTTTGCTTTATTTTAATTGTTTAGGATTGGCTTCATGTTAGCCACCCTGAGTCCCTCCAGGGAGATGGTGGCAGGATATAAATAAATAAATTATTTTCTAAAATACATTCGTTCACTCATGATATGATAAATTATCAACTCTAATTTCTTAGATATGGCTATCTTGACTTTTTATGGGCAAGCAGATGACTAGTATATGGCATATGTTCTCTCTCTCAAAAATTGGAGCTGATAAGGGAAAATTGATATCATTATTGGTATTATACCCAGAAACAGGTGTAACATTTGAGGCACAAAAATGTGTGTTAGCCAGTGAATCCAGTTATTTCTCCACAGTTAACACTTAGGATGGAACATATGGCATCATGTATGTACACTTTACAAACAGGAGATGGAACTTCAAAAAGCTGCAATTTTTGCAGCCAATTTATTCTGTTGGCAAGGGAAGCTAGGCAACCAGATTTAGAAATGTGATCAGCTTGTCAGGAGCTTCAAATTAAACTTGTTTTTTATCACACAAAAGGTAGTACAGGAGAATCTCTTCATAAAAATCCAACATTGTGAAAAATCCAGTCCTTGAAAAAAAAAGTGGCATCCCAAGCAACTGAGAAGCAGACATTTATTTTGTCCATTCTTGACCCTTGCTACTCTCTGACTTAAACTACTTCAAGTACTTTTCTATTCCTATTTCTGGATGGAAATGTAGGATACAGTATAATATCCCCAGTAATGTGTACACTTGTGGCATTTTAAAAAATTATACAAAAAAGCAGTTTTTTGATATGCTTTGAGAGCATATAATCTTCCCTCCCCATCTCTGCAGTTTCATTTGCTCACCTTGATAAAGTGTATGTTGTATAGGCACTGAAGAGCCATCTCATAGAAGAGTGATTCAGTAGAAATGACTAGCAATTTTTCACTTTTAATGTTGTGTGAAGACTTTGCATTTTAAAAAGTTCAGTCCTAGATGATGTGCAATCATATACTGAACTGGTTTACAAGTTCTACTGAATCCTTAAGAGATATGTTTACAAGGCCTGCCTTCTCTTCCAAATGAAGAGTGGTGTCTCAGTAAACTATAACTGCCAGAATTCCATGCCAGTTTTTTTGTGTGTCAGGAAAAAAACTGCAAGTCACTTTCTGGTGTGATAGAATTGACCATCTGCAAGAATGTTGCCCTGGATTTTTGATGTTTTACCATCCATGTGGGAGGCTTCTTTCATGTACCCTCATGGGGAACTGGAGCTGACAGAGGGAGCTCAACCTGCTCTCCCCAGATTCGAACCATTGATCTGTTTGCCACAGATGCAGGCGAAATGTCAGGAGAATGCCTCTAGAACATGGCCATATAGCCCGAAAAAACCTACAACCCATTGACCTGTTGGTCAGCAGTCCTTCCAGCATAAGAATTTAACGCATTGCACCACCAGAAAAAACTAGTGTAGATCAGTGGATCCTAACCTGTGATCTGCAAGAATATATGGTCCATAGCCTCACCATTACCTGAAAACTATGTGGCAAAAAGAGCAACTGGTCTCGTGAAACCCTCTTATAACGCTGTGGCAACGGGGATGTCAGGAGGGTAGAGGCTGACTATCCACAAAATATTACTACCACATCAGTTCTAGATTATTAAATATGGTTTTCTGTGGACGAGCAGATGGCATATGTTCTGTATCAGAAGCGAGAGTTGATGTGGTCTATCCAAAGCGATTTTCTGAATCAGCACCCTAAATAACCAAATAGTATCTAAAGTTGACCAAAAACTGGTTTGGTCCCTGGTCAAATAAAGGTTGGGAACCACAAGTCTCCCGACCTAAAAGAGTCATTGTGAAATGTGGATACTGTGGACAGATTCCTAATTGACACTTTTAACAATAGTCAAAACACAAAGTAGTTGCTTTTTTAATCATTTATTTTACAAATGGAAATCAATGCTAACATAATGAAACAAAGCCTCGGTATCATCCTCTGATTATACTCCAATACCACCTTCCCATCTTGTACAAAACAACAGTTGATCCATCAAGTTCAAATAATGTTTACATCTCATACAAAGCCCATGATCATAAGTCTTTGTGCTTACTAAGAGCTTTTGATGGAAGTTATTTTGGATAAATTACTTTGTGGCTCAAAATTCCAAGGAAATCTAAAAAGTAGTTTCCATGGAAACATATTGTAGCTAGGTTTCCTAAACTTGTGTTCTGTGAGCTGAGGATATTTAATCTTCAGAAGAGTATGTGAACAGTGCCAAGAGTTACACACTGACCTCGCTTGATCCCAACTATCCACTACTATTATCATAGGCATGGCTCTAAGGCAGATCTTGGGCTTCTGTAAAGCTGCTCCCCATCTCAAGCAGCATGGCTCCAAGAATACTACCAACTTCTCCTTCAGAGTTTTGCATCTGAACAAGGACAATCTTATAACCCCACTGCACTTTACTATAAGTGGCCAGCTTCAGATCAGTCCCTGAAACAGATTTCAGTGACAGCATATTATTTTAGTCAAAGGCTCAAATGAATCTCTTACAAAGGTTCACTATAATTGCAGCCAAAATTGATTTATTTATTTACAGTATATTCCACCCTTCTCACCCCACAGGGGACTCAGGGCGCATTACAATGCACATATACATGGCAAACATTTAATGCCATAGACATACAACATATATAGACAAACACAGAGGCAATTTAACATCCAGCTTTCCGGCTTCATGAGGGTATGCTCAATTCCAGCTACAGGGGAGCTGCTGCTTCACTGTCTACTTGTGACACTCTGTCAGTGATTGAGTACTTCCTCATTCTTACTCACACTGCTGGAAGGTTTTATGGTGTCGTAAATTAGTTAAATTAGCCTCCCCGCATAAAGCAGTACCTAAAATTCCTACTTGACAGATGCAACTATCTTTCAGGCTGCATAGGTCAACAGCAAGCTAGACTATTTATGGTTGGAACCTCACTCCAACCCAGGCTGGCTTCAAACCCATGACCTCTCGGTCAGTAGTGATTTAATGCAGCTGGCTACTAACTAGCTGTGCCACAGCCCGGTCCTATTGATTGAAGCCTATTCTACCTCTTACTTATTTATCCAAGCAGAAACAACCTCATAGCTATTAGCAGCTTGAAAACCCCAGTTTTGGAATATTATTAAATTATAAATGTTGAGTTCTTGCCTCTATAGAGGAAAATAACCATCCTAATGTATGTGCCTATTTTCTGCCCAAAAGGTACTGGCTCATTGATATAAACACAAACTTTTGAGAAATATCAAAGCTGGGGAAGAGGAAGAATAACTTCCCATTGTTTAAATATTCAGCTAGACTGACGATGCATGGTTGCCCTGGGTCATGTCTCACACACACACACACACACACACACACACACACACACACACACACACACACACACACACACACACAAGTGTGCAGTGGCAGCCCACCTGCCAAGTTACATGAAATGCACAATAGTGAGGAATGGAAGAAGAGCTAACTGGAGTAACATCAGGTACAAGTTAAGTACAAAGCATTCATTACATCTTGTGTTGTGAAAACTCCTCCATGCTTTAAATGTTGGGTCTCTCTCTCTCTTCTTTTATTTATTTATTTTGCTGTGGGGGAAAAAACAAAGAAATTATTTCGAAGCAATCCTACACATAAAACACATTGTAGAAATCTAACAGTGGCACTAACTTTGAATAACTTTCTTCCTACCCTGAAATACTCCTTGCTAAAGTGGTGGCACATTAGGATTTACATGTTTGTCACCACATGCAGATGTCACAATAAATCATACCTACAAATCTCCCTATTATAAAGCTTTCATAAACCATTTGGGAGTAGTAAATCGGAACAGCAATATATGCACACCTTGCCTTTTATTCATTGTTCTTACTGAATTGCGTCCTATAGTACATGCTACTCCCAATTGAGGGCCCTTCCACACAGTCAAATAACCCAGAATATCAAGGAAGAAAATCACACAATATCTGCTTTGAACTTGGTGCCATATATTCCAGTTCAAAACAGATTATGTGGAATTTTGTTCAGTTGTATGGAAGGAGCCCTAGATTCTTAGAAATTTTACCAGTAACGCTTCCCACCTTCTACATTTTGCAGCAATTGGAGAACTCAATACTGATGAATATGTACTCAAGATTCACCTGGCAATGAACTTTCCCTATTACTCATACTGTTTCGACTGAGTCATTTGTAGTCTATTCACATGTAGCTGATCATACCACTTACCCAGGTGCTTGAGTTTTCATTACACAGTCATGTCAGTGCCCCCTTTCAAAGCTGTTGATAAACATGCAAGTATTCATGTTAAAAAAGAGAGTAAAAACTCATTTTATCTTATATTCCATTAATAATCTGACTCATAAACTTGCTTCAACGGACAAAGAGGACAACAGCAATTCTAGATCAATGTTATGTAATATTCCAGATATCAAATATATGTCATGTTTGTTCCTCCTGACAGGATCCAGAGGAAAGTGTCATCCTCTCCTCTGGGTTTAAAAGAGAATTTCTCTACCCCTCTGTGTTGGCCACTTAAAGCACCACCAGCTTTAAGAGGGCAAAGCTGAAAAGGGGGAAGCCTATACAATCCATATACAATACTCTTTCATTATACCATGGTTGGTCAAATTTGAACTATGTGCAGACACCAGGGCTGTCTGTGCCCAACTCAGTCCAGAAGGCATAGGGTCATTCTGCTATAGTTTTGGACCCCTTGAGTTTTTAGGCCCAGGATAAGCTGTTTTAAAAACAGAAGTAAACAGGAAACGATTTCAAGAATACTTATTGTTAAAAGTATGAGTGAAGACTATATTATTTATTATTTATTTAGAACTTTTGTATACCGGTCTTCTCACCTCCGTGGAGAGACTCAGGCCGGTTTCCAACAATAATATCACAAGCAATCGTTTAAAAACATCACATCCCGTAATACACTAACACATTAAAATATCAAAAATACAATCATATATAGTAACACAAAGTTCTGTCTGGGCCTGTTCTCCATTTCATATCACTCACTATACAGCCTTCATTTCACTTTAGGAACAATGCTTTTAGTTGAGGTATTTCCACATTTTTCTACTCTTTACACCAAAAAATCCAAATAAATCCTCACTTACTTCTGAATAAATACAAAGCTATCTTCCTCCCCTCTCAACCCTGTACCTCCTTTTAGTTGTTTTCTTTATCACCCATTATTTCACTAGTCTGCTCCCCTTATGATCACAGATTTACTAAGTAAGATCAAGTTATTCCCTATGTAATCCAACAATTTGTGGAGCATTCCCAAAACCTTTTGGGTGGAAATGAGTAGTCTCAAGCAATGCACTAAGTACAATATAAAATATAGTCAAAATAACGAGTGCACCAGAGTAATATGCAAATATTCAAAGCAACTGCTATGTAGAACCCAAAATATACAGTAAATTTTGGTATACTGTTCCATTATCAAGGCAGACTCTAAAAGGGGGCCTAGACAGAGATGGATAGTCCATTTTATTGGGGGCGGGGGTTGAAGGAGGACAAGCATTACCCCCCCCCCCCCTCATGTCATAATGGTTACTTTCCAAGACAGTGACACAGGTGGGGGGGAAATAACAGGAAAACAGGGGGAAATGGTTTTACTCCTTCAATGTGCACCCCTGTGTGAAATGAACTATCTTTCTCTGCCTGGATAATGGAGCAGTACATACATTTTAATATTGGAGAAAGAAACAAGAGGAAAAGAAATACATGTAGCATTGCTAAAGTAACTTATTTTCAGTGTCAATGTGAACTAACCCTTTCCCCACCAAGTGCTACAGAATTGCAACTCCTATCCAAGCATAGAGTAAAGGGAAAGGTAGCATACAACGGATTGGGCTTAATCCAATCTACAGACAGCAATCCAGCATTACTACGAGTTCTGGATCTGCACCTAGACCAGGCCTGTGTTCCTCCAAATATTTAGGACTTTAGCTTCCAGAATTCCTGACCATAGGACAAACTGGCTGGGGCTTTTGGGAGTCCGTGTCACAAACAACCAGAGGACCACAGGCTTCCCTAACTCTGCCTTTCAGGCGGTTTGCACTTCAGCTCTCAGAATCCCTGTTATTATTATATTATTATTTATTTATATATACACACGGTACTTGTATTTTGTGTTAGGCACCCACCCAAAATTCAAGAATGTTTAAACAATGGATAAGGTAGCACCAATTAATAACATTGGGATGATTACACACAAATTGATTGGTGATATTTATTTAAAACATTTATAGTCCGCCCTTCTCACTCCGAAGAGGACTCAGGGCGGTAAAAGGTAAAGGTTGTCCCCTGACATTAAGTCCAGTCATGTCTGACTCTGGGGTGTGGTGCTCATCTCCATTTCTAAGCCGAAGAGCCAGCGTTGTCCATAGACACCTCCAAGGTCATGTGGCCAGCATGACCGCATGGAGCGCCATTACGTTCCCGCCGGAGCAGTACCTATTGATCTACTCACATTTGCATGTTTTCAAACTGCTAGGTTGGCAGAAGCTAGGGGTGACAGCGGAAGCTCACGCCATTCCCTGGAATCGAACCTGCGACCTTTTGGTCAACAAGCTCAGCAGCACAGTGCTTTAACCCACTGTGCCACCGGGGCCCCCACAGCATATATACGGCAAACATTCAATGCCGGGACAAAAATTCATGTACACATACATAAACATTAAAAACATTTATCTCAATATTAAAATACACCATTTAAAACCATCTTGGTCATCTGTGTGAAATCTAATCAGCCTGGTAATCTTTCCTATTGCTGTTTTATTGCCCTGTTCCGAAAGCTTGGTCCCACAGTAAAGTTTTTACCATCCTTCTGAAGGACAGGAGGGAGGGGGCCAATCTGATCTCACCAGGAAGGGAGTTCCATAGCTGGGGGGCAATCTCCAAGAAGGCCCTGTCTCTTGTCCCCACTAATCACGCCTGTGACAATGGCAGGACTTAATCTCTGCAATGGTTCATAGGGGGAGATGGGAAGAGGGTGGTAAGGGGGGTTTAAAGGGGTTATTAATCAAGATATATGGTAAAGGGAAGTACAATTGGAACCTGTATCCTAGCCATAAAAATTGTAAACAGTTTTTGATGTTATATTTTAGATGGCTAAGGTTCGTATTGTATTGTTATCTGTATGGAGAAATTAATAAAAAAATTAAAAAATAGGGGGAGATGGGTTCAGACAGGCAAATTGAGCTGGGGCTGTTTAAGGCTTTATAGGCCAAAGCCAGCACTTTGAATTGTGTCTGGTAGCAATTCATTATATACAATTATATAAGTCTAGTGTAGTACAAAACGAGGTAGCACGATGTAATGACACGTAATAAAGTCTTGTTTATATAAATACTAATTGATTAACCGTTAAATTTGTAGACTTTTCTCTTTAAATAATAATTAGAGAAACCATTTGAATGAATTGTTGCTTCTGTAAACCGCCTTGAGTTGCCTGCGGGCTGAGAAGGGCTATATATATATATATATATATATATATATATATATATATATATATATATTTATTTATTTTTGTATACTGAGAAGTATACAAATATAGTAAGTAAATAAATAATCTGCCATTAACTATCAAGATTAAAAGGGGGCATCTACACCATAGAATTAATGCAGTTTGACTCCTTTGATTGCCATGCCATGGAATCACAATTGTACTTTTACAGCATCTCTCGCCTTCATTGGCCAAGAGAGCTCCAACTCCCAGGATTCCATAGCAGTTAAAGTGATATGAAACTGCATTAATTCCACAATGCAGATGCAGCCCAAAACAAGCCACTTCTGCTCCATAAGCAACAGCTTTTGTTCCCTTTTTCTTCCACTCTTGGCCCTCCCTCCCACCTTGATTTGCACAGTCAATAAGCTCAGCGAGGAAAGCAACAACGTAGCCACACACTCACCCTCTAAGAGACGGAAAAGGCCGTCTGCGTGCCTGCAGGGAGTTTATATAGTGCCAGGCAAATCCCGCGAGATTTGATCCCTCCCGTGGTCAGCGCTGTCCCCGGACCGAAGAGAGAGGAGGCGGGAGCAAGAGCGTCCTCTCCATCCAATCACGTGGCGCCCCTGCTCTAGCTAGAGATTTCATTGGATGGAACGGAGAGGCTTGCGCGCGCTGGGGTGGGACGAGGTGAGTTTTTTGGGCGGGAAGAAGCGATTCCACTCTGTGAATTAGAAAAGACTATTTAAAATGCTGCTGACTGGAAATAATGGGATTTATAGCGCAATTCATTCCAGTTACGGCAAGCAATGTCAGTCTTAAGCCCCCTTCCACACAGCTGAATAAAATCCCACCTTATTTGCTTTGAACTGTGTCCAGAGGAGGGTGACTAAAATGATCAAGGGTCTGGAGAACAAGACCTATGAGGAGCGGCTTAAAGAGCTGGGCATGTTTAGCCTGAAGAAGAGAAGACTGAGAGGAGACACTATAGCCATGTATAAATATATGAGAGAAAGTCATAGGGAGGAGGGAGAAAGCTTGTTTTCTATTTCTCTGAAGACTAGGACGCTGAACAATGGCTTCAAACTACAAGAAAGGAGATTCCATCTGAACATAAGGAAGTTCCACTGCTGAACATAAGTTCAGCAGTGGAACTCTGCCCCAGAGTGTGCTGGATGGCCATCTATCGGGGTGCTTTGAATACAATTTTCCTGCTTCTTGGCAGGGGGTTGGTCTGGATGGCCCATCAGGTCTCTTCCAACTCTATGAGTCTATGAGTCTAACTGGGTTATATGGCATTGTGGACTCATAACTCAGTTCAAAGCAGATGTTGTGGGATTTTCTGCCTTTATATTCTGAGTTGTATGGCTCTCTGGAAGGGCCCTAAGGAGTTGCAAGATGTTTGCAACGCTTGAAATTGCAACTTGAGAGGTCGGGAGGAACTTCTTCAACACTGTAACAGGTTGCTTTGAGACAAGTTGCAGATTTCTGTTTGAGGGTTACAATTGCAGTCAAAACAACCCGGCTTTGTTCTGGCTACCTTTGGTGTGTTTGAAGAGTGCCTGAAGGCCCTTCCAGGCAGACCCTCTATCCCAGGATCTGAGCCCAGGTTTTCTGTTTATCCCAGATTATCTGGCAGTGTGGATACATATCCAGTTTAAAGCAGAAAACCTGGGATCAGATCCTGGGATAGAGGGCCTGAGAAAAAGGGCCCTTCCACACAGCCATTTGTTGTTTATTTGTTCAGTCGCTTCCAACTCTTCATGACCTCATGGACCAGCCCACGTCAGAGCTCCCTGTCAGCCGTCACCACCCCCAGCTCCTTCAGAGTCAAGAGTAAAGCCAGTCGCTTCAAGGATACCATCCATCCATCTTGTCCTTGGTTGGCTCCTCTTCCTTTTTCCTTCCATTTCCCCCAGCATCATTGTCTTCTCTAAGCTTTCCTGTCTCCTCATTTATTTATTTATCGTGTCAGGGGCAACCAGACCATTGTATTACATTTCTAACATAACAAAACAAACAGATAAAAAAACACAAAGTTTGCAAGCTTGGTAGTTGATTAAATGTCCTTTGACTAGTATCTGGCCACTTGGAGTGGCTCTGGTGTTGCCGCAAGAAGGTCCTCCATTGTGCATGTAGCAGGGCTCAGGTTGCATTGCAGCAGGTGGTCAGTGGTTTACTCTTCTCCACACTCACATGTCGTGGATTCCACTTTGTAGCCCCATTTCTTGAGGTTGGCTCTGCATCTCGTGGTGCCAGAGCGCAGTCTGTTCAGCGCCTTCCAAGTTGCCCAGTTTTCTGTGTGCCCAGGGGGGAGTCTCTCATCTGGTATCACCCATGGATTGAGGTTCTGGGTTTGAGCCTGCCACTTTTGGACTCTTGCTTGCTGAGGTGTTCCAGCGAGTGTCTCTGTAGATCTTAGAAAACTATTTCTTGATTTAAGTCGTTGACGTGCTGGCTAATACTCAAACAAGGGATGAGCTGGAGACGTCACTGCCTTGGTCCTTTCATTATTGGCTGCTACTTCCCGGCGGATGTCAGGTGGTGCAATACCAGCTAAACAGTGTAATTTCTCCAGTGGTGTGGGGTGCAGATATCATGTCATAATGCGGCATGTCTCATTAAGAGCCACATCCACTGTTTTAGTGTGGTGAGATGTGTTTCAAACTGGGCATGCTTACTCAGCAGCAGAGTAGCATAGCGCAAGGGCAAATGTCTTCACCATGTCTGGTTGTGATCCCCAGGTTATGCTAGTCAGATTTCGTATGATATTGTTTCTAGCACCCACTTTTTGCTTGATGTTCAGGCAGTGCTTCTTGTAGGTCAGAGCACGGTCCAGAGTCTCCTCATTATGTGGCCAAAGTACTACTATCCTTCCCTCCAATGTGCAGTCGGGCTTTATTTCCTGAAGTATGGACTAGTTGGATCTTCTCGCTGTCCAAGGCACTCTCAGAGCTTTCTTCCAACACCACAGTTCAAAAGCTTCTATCTTCCTTTGCTCAGCCTTCCTTGTGGTCCAGCTCTCACATCCATAGGTTACTACGGGGAATACCATTGCTTTAACTATGCGAATCTATGCAGTGTGATGTCTCTACTCATCACTATTTTATTGCCCTCATCCCAAGAAGTAGACATCTTCTGATTTCCTGGTTGCAGTCTGCATCTGCAGTAATCTTTGCACACAGCCATATAACCCAGAATATCAAGGCAGATAATCTGCAATGGCCCTTTCCACACAGCTGTATAAAATCCACATTGAACTGGTTTATATGACAGTGTGAACTCCTGATAACCCAGTTCAAAGCAGATAATATGGATTATCTGCCATGTTATTCTATATTATATGGCTGTGTGGAACAGCCCGTTATCTGCATTGAACTGGGTTTTCTGAGTCCACACCAATATAATCCAGTTCAATGTGGATTTTATACAGCTGTATGGAAAGGACCAATGATGGGCCTGTAAAACCACCTTTGCATAATGGAGGGACCCAAATGCCAAAGAATGAGATCAGGGGCGGCTCAACCCAGTACACAAAGTAAGCATTTGCAGTATAGTTGATTTTGCTCAGGGGCACTCTTGAGGCGCTCTTGGGGGAAAATAGACCTTGACATATGCGAGTTGTAGTTACTGGGATTTATAGTTACAATTGCGTGTGTTGTTGTATTTTGGGCTCGGCCTCATGTAAGCCACACCGAGTCCCTTGGGGAGATGGTAGCGGGGTATAAATAAATAAAATGTTATTATTACAATCAAAAAGCATTCTGAACTCCACCAATGATGGAATTGAACCAAATATGGCACACCGAACTCCCATGACAAACAGAAAATATATATCTGTGTTTGGTTGGGGGGAGCCAAAATACTGTTTGCTTACTGTTGAAAATTACCTAGGGCTGCCTCTGAATGAGATCTTACTTGGCTGCTGTGACTTTTCATACAAGTATACTCAGCCCTTCATATTCACAGAGTCTGTCATCCATAGCTAGATTTTTTTCGGTCATTTTATATAAGGGATACAAGTTACTACCACATTCTATTGTCAAAGGCTTTCATGGCTGGAATCACTGGGTTGTAGGTTTTTTCAGGCTATATGGCCATGTGCTAGAGGCATTCTCTCCTGACGTTTCACCTGCATCTATGGCAAGCATCCTCAGAGGTTGTGAGGTCTACCACATTGTCTAACACAATTTTTGTTCCTGGGTTATGAATTTCATTTCCAAATTGGTTCTATTGTAAAAACATGGGACATTTTGCTATTGTTTTTCAATTAATTAACTCATAGGGCCCTATATCCTACAATCTGATCCCAGGTTCAGATTATATGAGTCCGCACTGCCAGATAATCTGGGATAAACTGAAAACCTGGGATCAGATCCTGGGATATATGACCTGTCTGGTAGAGCCTATAGAATCTCAACCAATTTAACACCATTTGTGGCAGCCACAAAAATTAAGGTTTTTGGAGTATAACAACTACTTTCAAAATAAATACCACAGAATTAAACAGGAAATAACACTTTCAAATTAGGAACAATTTTTTTCAAATTTTGTTACATAGTGTTATATGAAATTTGGCCCATAATCCTTGCAAAGATTATTTCATAATGCACTAGTAAAAGAAATCAAACTGCCACCTTCATTTCAGAGACTTTTATTTTTTTAAATGTTGTGCATAAAATGTGTGTAAGGTAAATCCCTGGCAACCTATTTCTCTCAAACCTAAACTACTCCACAGTGCAAAAGTGGCCTCCAAATCTGGAGATCAACCAATAGAAATACAGAAACATTTCTGAGAAACAGATATGTTACTCTGCCATAAGTTTTAGCTAATTTCTCGTTTCTACCACCTTTGGGATTATATGGAAAGGATGAGTTGTGATGCAATGCATAGCTAATGAACTGAGTTTGACTTGATGGATCACAACCTGTAATAGCTGATACCATCATGTAAGCAAAATACTTTGAAACACTGAAGCAATATAGCTGCCAAATGCTATAAATAACCCATTCAAGAAATTAAAGGCATTATTACTACAATTTGATGTGGGACCATGAGTCGCTGTAAATGCACAGATGTATTAGTAGCTACAAGTATAGGTTTTGTAACATTACACTGAAAATAGCGCATGTTCGGTTGTCCACCCACATGCTGTCACAATAACCCACTATTTGACTTCTACAGTGGATGTGCTCTGCAATTAACAAATCCTGGAAGGGAAGGAGTGCACACGGAAATAATATGCACATTACAAAAACAGAAGCATCATTTTGCATTTCAATCGCCAGGCCTTCATTGAAAGAACCAAACTTATTTTGAGTTCTTTATGGGACTTTTCAAATAGTTACTATGCACCCCCTTTCCCAGGTGGTGGCAAGTCTCTAGGGCTGTGCTCCAAGATCTAATCTGAATGAGAGAGAGAGCGCGCGCATACATGCTTATGACTTGATTATGCCATTATAATATTTGCTTTATATGCAGCCAAGTATTGCAGAGGCAAATGTGCACTCCTATGGGATATGGAGCCATGTCATTTTCT